AATTAGCTAGTTTTAGAATAAAAGAACCATTTTTTCACTTCTAGACTATAGAAAATGACATTGCCTTCAATTCAATTCAAGCTCAGGAAACAATGCTACAACTTCGGATTAAAAAGTTACATACCTTATTAATTCACCCAAGAACTTTATTTTTTCAAGTGCTCAATTTAAAAAAAAAATTAAGAAAACTATTTCTTGGTGGAAACAGCACTTAGGTTTCTATCTATAAACTTAGGTTTTTGGAATTGGAAAAATAAATTGACAAATAAATTATTCAAACATTAGTACATGGATCAAATAGTTTGGCAGTTATACTGTTGACAATCTGCGAGCTTGACTATTTTTTTTAAAGAATTTTTTTACTATTTTAATTATTATTTTATCATCACTTAGTAGAATTTATCTATATGACCATTCTCTTTCACCTTGGCACATATGCAAGCGTTCCGTAATGTAAATATTTTTTGATTTCATGACTTTAAGAGTAAATGGCATGGTGTCGATAAATATCTTACTGCTTGGCCACTATTAAACTCCTTGTTTTAAATTTATTTTTAAGTAAATTTATATCTTGTTTTCCTTCATTTGAAACACTTAAAAAATGATTCGAATTTCCTCTAGAAAAGCATGTAAAAACGGAATAAATTATCAGACTGCAAATTTTTCCCAGAAGTCATGATACTTCAGTAAATATTTAGATTTCTTGAATATGAATTGTCGTAAACTGAAAACGCAGTTTCAAACAATGTTCAACTTTCCACGTTTAAGTACATTATGCATATAAGACGGATTTTAACAAATTATGTATGAATCTGCATGGTCTGAGGTTTGTTTGTTGGAAGACTGAGGAGCGATCAAATTGCTGTATGAATCTGCGTGGTATAAAGTTTTGTTGGAAGATTGAAAAATAATCAAATGGCTGTATGAATCTGCATGGTCTGAGTTTTGTTTGTTGGACGATTGAGAAGTGATCAAATTCATCGTTGTATTTCTGAAGCTGTAACTGATATAGGCAAAAAAATCAGGTAAGTGACTTTTTATTCTTTATTAAAAGGCTCGCTTACTAAGAACTAAAATACTGAACCATCAGAAGAACTAGGCATTTTTAATTTGTTCAACTGAAACTTGGTTATGTGGATGTGGTGGAATTGCGTCATTTATTTGATGAAAAATATTTGTGTTTTTCTAAGAGACCGTACTACTTGGAGAAGCAAGCAGTGTTCCTGTTGTTTAATGTTTAGTTCCTTATCAAAATACTTGCCTTAACTTAGATATGGAACTTTTATAATAGTTTAAAGTTAATGTATGATATACTTTGTTGTGTAATATATTTCAACTTTCAGGTAAGAATGTATTTTTTTATTACGTATTTTTATTATATTAAGATGTTCAGTTTTCACGATCATTTTTTTATTATTGTTTATACATAAACTAGTGTTTACTGTTCATCGTACTCAATGAGTTTTCTAAGTTCCTGCATATTAACAATCTGAATCAATTAAATGTTTTGAATCTTATAATAAATAGGTATTTAGGTTCGTTCCAAATATTGATCCTTGTAAAACTTTAATTTGTCTCTATAATAGGCCTTTTGTTTTTGATATTTTTCTTTATCCTGCCTTCTGTCTTTATTCAATAAGTACTTGTGTACAAAAATAAAAACGACTCGAACAGATCTACGTATGGTTACAAAAAAGCTGATTATTTGGACTTGAAGGATTAAAATAATAATGTTGACTGGAACATTCTTTTCTCAATTTCTGTGGCTTTATTGCAGTGCAAAACTTTTATTAAGTTTTTCTATGAAATTTTCATTGAAACTAGTGCCATTAAAAAATTAAAAGATAAAACTTCTATTTGGTAATCTCGTTTAAAAAAAAAGGCTCGTCTTGTAAAGCTGTATTTTAATTTGAAGGTGCATTTAACTTTAATGAATTTAAATCTTATCCATTAGACATGGCGTTAGAAATGATTATATTAAGTACTATATTTTAAGCTATTGATGAACATAAATGACAATCTAGTTAATATTGACAAAAAAGGTTAACTTTAGTTAAATCTGTAAGGATCTGATAGTTGTTGTTGTTCATTTAAGTCGCACTAGAGCTGCACAATGGGCTATTGGAGACGGTCTGGGAAACATCCCTGAGGATGATCTGAAGACATTCCATCACAATTTTGATCCTCTGCGGAGGGGATGGCTCCCCCGCCCGACGACCTGCGCGCGAAGTCGAGCACTTTACGGTGGAACAGTTTAACGAGGACCAATACCGCACACCCTCGGTCCCTACGCAGGCTGATCCAAGTGGTCACCCACCCGTACACTGACAGCCGCCAGTGATGCTTGACTTCGCTGATCTGCTGGGAACCGTGTCTTAACTATCAGTCCACTGCGGGACAAGGATCTGATAGGGTTCTATAGTTACCGAAACTATGTAGTTTTTGTAGATAATTTAATATCTGAAAAATGTTATTTATAAAGTAATTGATTTTTGATTAATCATTTAACAGTTACCAGAAATTTTCAATCGTCTTTCAGCACAAGATCACGAGTCCTAAATTTTTGTAACTGCATATAGGTGGTTTATAGTCGAATAGGTCGGATAAGCAGTTTATAAATGAGTTCGAATCAACTTTTATAGGTTTGACCGAATGCTTTAAATACAAGCACACCCCAGCTCAAAAACGCTAGTTTTTTATTTATTTATTATTATTATTAATAATATTTTTTTTGTTGCACTAATCCGCTTAAGTTAGAGATTTTATATGACATAAAAAGATCAAAATAGCGAAGATATATAGCCAAAACTTGCGATGTGAAAAAGCTTAATTTATATTTTAATATTTACTTCGTCTATTCTTATTAATTTTTACGCTTATTAATTTTTTTAAAAATTTTTTATTCTTCAAAATTGAATCTTGGATATTTGGTTTGTTTGAATGTAACAAGAAAATATATTAAAACTTTATAATAAGCATGAACTTAAAAAACCCGACTCTAAAAATGAGTTTGGGCCTACTTTTTCAGATTTATTCAAATTCTTTATATCCGAGGTCTCTGGGAATTTCTTTTGCTCGAACCCGCCCGAGTCAGAGATTTAATATGACACAAAAAGGTCAAAATTCGCAAAGAATTAAGCCATAAGTTGCGACGAGGAAGGCTTAAGAATATATTGTAATATTTGCTTCTTAATTTTTACACTTAATTATTTTTTTTTTCTTCTTAAAAACTGAATCAAATATGTTTTTGTGTACTTGGTATGCTTAAATGTAAGGAGAAAAAAGTTAAGATTTTAAAGTTTTTATGGAAGTGTATGTAAGGCCATAAACTTTTACCAAAATATTTTACCACGTTAACATGTTTCGGTAGAAATTTGAAAAAAAGTTAACTCTCAGTTAGTGCAATCGTCAAAAAACAGAAGAACAACAACACAAGAAAGATTTTTTTTTTCACCTAGTGCTTTATTTCACATTTCATTCTTTTTCTATCAATCACATAATTGAACGTATTTTGTCACAATTTCTTTGAATTGATTCAGAATAAAATTGAAAGAAACATAAAATAAAATAAAATAAGATGTATTTTGCACATTTGAAATGATATGATGGGTGAGTAATATAGCACCGGGAAAGTAATGGAATGATTTATTTATTTTTATTTATTTTCTAGCAGTTAAGAATGATTTAAATGAAACTTTGTTTAAAATCTTTTAAAATTGGCAAAAAAAGGGCTCATTTTATTTAAATATTTGATGAAAATAACACAATTCTGTTTTTAAAAATGAATAAATATTTCAAAAGTGTAAAAAAAAAAATTCAAAACAGTATTTAGAATATAGTACAATAAACAGTTTCATAATAGTAAATAGCAACGAAGTAAAATTAACAAAGTAAATGTATAAAAAGCATTTTCTTTAATTCTAATGTCTTAAATAATTTAGTTTGATCAAAACTAGTCTTTAAAATATAGTGATTAAAAATTATTCGAATATTTTTATAATTAGCATTTAAATACTTAATAAAACAACACTAGAATAATTTTTTAAGCTAAAAAAGTTAAAAAAAATTATGTATATTAATTTTATATATGCTTTATTAGAAAAATGTTTTATAATAAATTATGAATATGAAGTAAATCTATAAATGTATGAAAAGCATTTATTCCAATAAAATTATTATAAGCCACATTTTTATCGAAGCTCTTTTTTTTTAAAATTTTCTGATCAAACTGTTTCTTAGTATTGTTTTCTGGTACATACTTTACAATTTTCCGGAAATTTTGATTGATATTAGCATACACAAACGCAAACTTGACTTACTTACTTGATATTAGTATAATAAACACTAACATTATACATAAAAATCGTGGTGTTTTTGATCAATAACTTTCCGTGCAACTTGATGAAAATGTGGCTTATAATTTTTATTATGCTTTTAACTCCTTTTTTTTCTTGAATGATGCTTGAGCAAAAAATAGTGCAAGTGTGAAAATTGTAATGATATTTTTATAGTAAATATTTTGATTGTATACGTAATAACACTTGCAAAGAAGAGCTTAAATCAAAACATGATCTTGGCTCCAAAAAAAAAAGTACTAATTTTTTTTTTCTGAAGATTTTCAACTATTCATGTTTTAAACTTCAATTTTTATGTAAAATTTTGCATTAATTATTATTCCGATATTTAAAATTTTTTTTTATGGAATCTGTATTTGGATGTTCTTATTCTATTATCAATATATTTCTTTTCAATTATAATTTTTCATTAAAAATATTCTTTACACGTGAATATTCTTTATCTTGCATTGAATAGATTTTGTGAATTCAAATAAAGACAATTCTACAAAAACAGAATTGCAGGTCAAAACAAATTTGTAAAATGTTGTTAAATATTCATATAATTAATATTTTAATTTTTTTTTTTGAATATACATTTAGATACAGCCAGAGATATACAAATTTAAATTTGTTTATACAATTATACAAATATACAAATTTAAACAAACTATTTTTTTTAAAGATTTGTTTTTTAAATGTTCGGTAAAGGAATTACAGGAAACTTATTTCCGTTACCGAGCATTTAAAAAATATATTGGAAAATAATACTTAAAATTAATATTAAATATGAATTTGTAACAAAAAAGTGACGAATTCGCTTTGAACTATAATTCCGTTACCAAAAAATGCCTATAACTAAACATAACATTTAAAAAGTTAGTAAATTTAGGCTATAGTCATTATTAAATGTTTCAAATTTTTTTCAAATAAACATTTTTGGATTTTTAAAAAAATTTAATTTGGATAATTGAAACTGTGCAATAAATGGGAATTTGAAAATTAATTGGTCATTGAGATTGGTTTAATGCTAAAAAGGAAATATTTAGCCGAATTCTCTTTGAAAAGATTCGATTTAATGCAACAGAAATTGAAAAGTTCTTCCTATATCAATTATACCACTCAAAACATCGGAATTATGTATCAGATAAATTAAGTAATAACTTAAAATCAATGATATTTAATTTAAATATTCAACTTAAGTTGGATATTTTCAATTTAAGGTTTTTCCTATGCAAATACAACTCAAAACATCGCAAGTTCGTATCAGATAAATTAAAATTTGGATAAATAGTTTCATTTTGGGCAAGTATGAAATATTTCTGGAGTGTTTCAGAAATATTTCAAACATATTAGAAACATTTCAGGAACGTTTGATTCATGATCGTAGAATAGTTGATATTTCAATGTTTTCGGCAATATATCTATGTCGTTTTTGGGGATTTTTAAAACGTTTTTGCAATATTTGTTACCTATCTGAAAACCAATTTCAATGTTGTAAGCATATTATGTAAAAACAATAATAATTGCATTATCTAAAAAATACATTATAAATAAATTTTTGTGTACCATCCATAACGTTATAGTAATAAAAATAACAATGAAAGCATGTGTGTATATTTTGATGCAGCGAATACAATTTTAACTTGAATTTTCATTACATGATTTTGATTTGAATGATAAAAATATTTTTTTTTATAAACAAATAAACATTTTGATTTCACAAATTGCATTTATCAGAAATGAATAGTTTCCATCTCCTTCAAAAATCCGATAACTCTTGTCTTCATAACACCAATAATTTGATTTTCACTCACTTTCTTTGTTAAAATCTTTTTTTTTTTAATATATAAAGTTTTATGTACAATAAAGTTGTGCAAGCTAGACTTTGCATTGCTGTTTCAAGCGCTTAATTCACAACCATATCGAGCTAAGTAAAGGTGGACGCCAATTTTTAGAGTTTAAAAAAAAACGCGTTAAAAGTTTCCACCATATTTTTTTTTTGTACAAACAAAATAAAATATTCATGAGCTATCTATGAATGCGGCTGACAGAACCATGAAGTGCCGTTTGTTGTATGTAGGGCTGTTTTAGAGCCACCTGGCGGTGGATGGTATAAATGAAAGCTACTTGGGTGATGATACAAAGATTGATGCTGATCTGGAGAAAGTGTTTGTTGCGTGTGGTGATGACCATATGGTGCACCCGGATGGTCTAAATTACTTGGATGTACGAATAATTGATGTGGTTTTAACGGTAAGTGCTGGAGAGAATTCGGGTCTGTCGCAGTTACGTAATGTCTCATGTGCGGTATTGCCGCAGCAGCGGCGACAGCAGCTGCCTCGTTGAAATTGTCTCTCGGAGATACTGAGCTTGGCGGCGTCATGGCATTGCAATTGTCCAAATATGATGATCCAGTTGAACCGTAAGTTGGCGATGAATCTGAAAGTTTGGCGGCAGATTGCAACATGAGATCACTGTATGGCGGATCAGGTCCACCAGGGGGCGTAGGAAGTGTGCCTTGAATGGTATCACCGTAGCAACCATGACGCGTCGCATGCGCACCAGCGGAACGGATGACAGACTCTCTACTCACGTATATTTGTCGTAACAGTGTGGTTGCTGGCAAAGATGCGGGTGCTGGTGGACCACCAATCCATTGTATTGGGCGCTGTGTTGGTGAACCCGATGTGGGGGGAAATGATTTGAGCATTAGTACATCTGGCGAGCCTCCGCCAGGAGATCCATTGTGCTGTGGCAAGTGCCTGTTCATGACATCTTCTAAATCTCTAACAGACATTGCCGATGAATTTTTACTACAGTTTGTGTCGTATGCATTCGGTGCGGCGGGAGATCTAGTCCATGGTCTAGTAACCTTATCACTTTTGTCGGGGGAGTTTTCAGAGTGTCCTTCCCTCCTCCCATTCGAAGAATTTAAACCGGATTGGCTACAGGACATGTCGTCCACAACTAGGTCATTGTTGGTCACTTCACTATACGTGGTACCATTGTCCAGCGACAGAACTTCAAGACTAGTCGACGAAGAGCTTCCTGGACGAGGGCTTTTGATGTTGTCGTTTGTTTCATTCATCACCGATAAGGAATCTGCGAGTTTTCTTTTCCGTTGTCTGTTATCGGCTGCTTCCGCGGCAGACTCGGCAACGGATGTCGGAGTACGTCTTGCATTTGACTGGTCGTAAAACGAAACTCCTGGAAACTCTTTTGGGGAATTGCCCGGTTTCTCCTGAAAAAATAAAATATTTCGATAAATTTTGTTGGTTGGACATCAATACATTAAAGCGATTATTCTTGAAAATAAGAAAAAATGAGATGCTTCTATTAGCTATTTCGTCAACAATTTTCAACACTCAAATATAGCATGAAACAAAAGTATAAAAAAAATTACAAAATAACTTTTATGTAATTTGAAAGAAATGTATTTAACTCTGTTTCAGTTATAAGAGGAAATGTTCTGGCAGTTGGTTGGTAGGTACATTATTTACATCGTCCTAGAGCTGTCTAATGGGCTGTTGGGGACGACCAGGGAAACTTCCCTACATCGCCCTAGAGCTGTCTAATGGGCTGTTGGGGACGATCAGGGAAACATCCCTGAGGATGATCCGAAGACACACTATCGCAATTTTAATCCTCTACAGAGGGGATGGCTTCCCTGCTTTGGTAGCCCGATGACCTGCGCGTGAAGTCGAGCACTTTACGGTAGAACAATTTAACGAGGACTGATACCGCCCATCCACGGTCCCTACGCAGACTGATCAAAGTGGTCACTCACCCGCTTACTGACCGCAGCCAGTGATGCGTCACTTCGGTTTTCTACGGGGAACCGTTTCTTTAAGATCAGTTCACTGTGGGACCCTTAAATAAGGAATATTTTTTCGGTAAAGAAAATGATTCGATGAAATTTAATTTTATATTGATGGTTACCAAAAAAATATCTGGAACTGGTTAGTTATGGATATTAACCATTGACCAGCGCGAAGTCATCCTGTAGTTGGATATAAATCATGGGGACACTCAAATGTGTCACCATGCGAGAAGAAAATCGAATATAACTTTATAATAGTATTATGACATTGTAATAGGTTCCTTTACGTAAATTTCCCAGTTTTCAAAGCTAGATTTTAGCTAAAAGAATTCTTATTTAAGATACCTAATTGGATTAGTAAGTTGAAAAAAGGATAACTACTCGGAGATTGGGAGGAAATATTATCCTTTTTTCTATGAATATCTTCTTTTCCATTCGGAGTATTATTATTTTTTCATTGTAAATGGAAAACGTAAAACTTTAACCAAGAAATATCCAAACATCTATTCAATTTATTTTACATACTTTAAACTTTCCTGGATGTTTTGAATTAATTCTCGGCTATAGTTATGAAATTTAATTTCAAGACGTATCCAAAAGCAAATCCAAAATACTGAATGCTTAATTAGACTTTCTGTAATAATTTTTAAGTGATTAACCACATTGCAAAGGCAACTTTTGTAAAGAACAGAATTTTATTTCAATCAACATTTAAAATTTTTTTTCTATTCCGAATGCAGTACAACATAACTACAGATTTTAGAAAAATGTAGAAAGCCCAAATATCACAAACAACTATCTAAAACATATAATTTATAAATTATTTTCGTATCAACATGATTTAGAATGTCATTTCAAATTTAAATTCTGCATTCAAATGACTCGTAGTAAATATTTTGAGTATATCGCAAAACATCGTTTTAATATGACATGATACCATCAATTTTGTATGACATGATAACATCGATTTTATGGTTTTATATGACATGATAACATCGTAATAACATCGATTTTATATGGTATGATAACATCGATTTTATAGGACATGATAACATCGATTTTTTCAGCCAAAACTTCAGATGAATTTTTTTCTAAACTTTTATTAAAAATGGGTTATTTAGAAAACAATTTTAACGTTATTGAAGATAGTTAATTTTTTGTCTGACATGATTAGAATAGCTTACCGATGTCCTGTGTAATTCCTGCAAATCTCTTTTGTTGCCCTCCATATCCAAATGACTACTTCCTTCAAATACTTGACCTTCGTCATGAACGTCGCCGACGTTTCCTGGCCTCGATGTGGACCTCTGCTCCGCTTCAACGTCCCCTGTAGCCGTATTGTCTACAAAATACAAAAACATACAATTATTATGAATGTTACAGAACAAGTAATCTATCCTTAATGAGAGAATATATTAAGTGGACTGAAATCTCTAACGCTTCCATCAAGTTTAAGAATATTAAGGCATAAACACATTCTAGCAAAAATTTATAGTAGGCCGGACAATCCATGGATCTTATAGCACCACAATTTCGTGACCAACAGCATAATGGTAGCAATCTGGTCAGTATGGATGGTGTTTTCAATAGAAATGTAAACAATAACAATCTCGAGTTCGGGACCTACTCTAGTTCCGGTTAAAAAGTTTGCAGCTGCTTACTACATGTTATTCTGATAGGCGATGTTTTCAAACGGATAATTTTGTTTTCAATAAAAGAAATAAACTAGATGATTTCTGAGCTCAAATCTGCCGTATTTCATAAGATATTAATGTTATTATGTAATTCTGGGGAGTTTGGAGTGAAAATTTGTTTTAGTTATTTTGTTATTTATTATTAAAAAAGGTGACATGGTTGCTAGATTTTGAATAACTCGCTTTTTTGGCAGTCTTGATTTGGCCTCTTTCCATTTGTTTATTACTGTTTGTTCGTGTTGCAAGCTGTGCACCATCTTACGTTAGTGTTAACACTTTTAGTATTGTAAACAGTATTGTTAGCATTGTAAACATAAGTAATAAGTAATCAAATGCAGTGTTTCCAAGAATCTCAAAACACAATGATGCCAAATGGCTTTAAAATACAACTGAAACAGTAACCCGGAAATTTAGGCAGTCCCGAGCTTGCAGCTCTCCCTAGTGTAGAAAACACCATCCATTGTGTGCACACCGATCACCTTTATTTCCTAGAAAGACTGGTACCCATTGATCTGAAGTTAGAGGGGGGGGGACCGAACCCCTGCCGAAGTACCTTTGAGTCATCGTTGCTCTCAAGAAAGTGTTAGCACTTATAATATACTATAAATGTATTATACGATGCGATTAAAAAACGTATAGTACATTAATTTATTTTAACGAATCTTTAAATAAGACATATTTTAAGGGATAAATATATTTTCTAATTAGATGTTTCTATACATTTCAAAACTGGTTTTCTCAAATTTGCATAAAACTCTCCTTCACCCGTTTTTTCACTAAATTTCTATCATTCGTTCAAGCTAAATATTTTAAACCTTAAATATATGTATAAGGCATGTAGCGACAATGTTTGAAGGTATGACAAAATGTAGAAAGCTATTGAATGACGGTGTAAAAATTCCAAGTTTTTCATTAATCTAAGTTGAAAAACTTGAAGAATGAACAATGTTTCAATTTCAGAGAATTTGATAATGGCTTTAGAGTGTAAAGAAACATTAGACATTTATTATATACTACAGTCGATTCTAATAAGTTCTTAAATCCTGAAAAAGGAGTGTTTTTTTTTTTTTTGAAACGTTACATTAAATGTTTTTCCACTTTATTTTTCAGTTAATCAAAATCAATTTGTAATTAAATGATTAGGTATGTAAATGTCCCCTCACCGTCTTTTCATGTTTTATTTTGGTTTTAATAATCAATAACAAACTATAATAGGATTTAAAATGTTGAAACGTATTAAGAAGAGATAGAATGTTCAGGACGCAAATTAAAAAACTGACCACTCATTATAACTTTTGTTTTAGTGATGGGATCTTCACGTTCTAGGACTCATTCTTAATGGTTTGAAGGGGTAACCCAAAATATGCTAATTAGTGCAGACGATATTTTAAGTTACGAAATCAGACACAAAAGCGTACTTTCTTTAACTAAACATACTTTTTTTTCGATGAATTCAAATTTCAATGTCTCACAAAATATAGGGGGTAGCCGCAATCTGAGAAATATAGTCCCCATAATTTGGTCAGGAGAGCGATTCAACGTTTGGTCCCATCAATGTTAATTTTACTTTTTGCGTATTTCGCCGTATCTCGAGAACTTTTTAAGAGAATTCGAAGATTTTTGCACTCAATTATAAATTTCGTTTATCCAAAGATAATTCCATACAAATAATGCACTTTAGTAATTTTTTTATTAAATAATAATCGAAAAAAATTTTGAATTCTGAGGTATACAATTTTTTTTTACATTGTTTTAAAGCGTGCAATTTTACATGGCTAAATACAAAACTTGGTCGAAATCGGTTTAATACTTCCTGAGAAACTGAACGTTAACGAAGTTATAAATTTAAAATTCTATTTATCAGGAACTATTCGACCGATTTCGCTAAAATTTTGTATTTTACCATATAAAATTACATACTTCAAAATGACGTAAAAAATTGTATATCTTACTATAAAAATTTTTTTTCGAGTTTCATAAAATAAAATATTAAAAAAATTAAATATTTGCTAAAATTTTTTCTGTTGCATGGAATTGTCTTTGGATAAACGAATTTTATGAACAAAAAATTTTCAATTCGCTTAAACATTTCTCGGGATGTGGCGAAATACGCACAAAGTAAAATTAACATTAAGGGGTCCAAAATTTGGATCGCTCTCTTGACCAAACTATGATTTAACCAGACCATATGTATAAACCAGATTGCAGCTAGATTTCTGGGGTCAGAAATCCAAATCTGCAGAAAGAAAAAAAAATGTTTATTCAGGAAAAGTACATTTTTGTGCCTGATTTCTAAACTTAAAATATCGTCTGCTCTAATTAATTAGCATATTTGAAGTCATCACCTCAAGCCATCAAGAATGAATCGTAAACCATGAAGATCCGATCGTTAGATCAAAAGTTATTCAGATCGGTCCATTCTGTTGGTGCACTGCATATGTTATAAAAGCATTTTACAGTTAATAGCAAGATTAATAGCAGGTCAAAATAAAAAGTTAAAACTAAAGATGTGAGTGGTTTTCGATGATGTGTACTCCAGCCATTACGTACTGGGAGTGTATAATACCTCTGCCTCCCTCTTTGTCTGGACTTGTACCCCTCTCAGAACTGCTGGGATCTTCATTTCTTAAGTCACGTGATGCTGGTAGTTGGCAATAATCCATGACGCAATGGGGATATTCTACATGACTGAAAGCAAAAAGGTATATATGTTAGTAATAAGCCACTTTTACATCCAGAAGTATAATGCGTGATTAGGCCCAACCGATAAGTCACATGGTTGGGTATAATCACCTGGCTGGGCTTGGTGGGACAACCTTATAGCAATTAGGCTTGGTTTATTACTATCAACTTTCGGATCAGATTTAACGTTATTCACACGGCTGAACTACATCCTTGAGTGTAACTTTGTGGTAGTGAATGGCAACTAGTTGTTTGCACTGTTCCTATTGGGCGATGCGTATTTTCATCCGAAAAGAAACGTATTCTCATTTAGTTGCCATCTAACTGATTGATCATTGATGGATTTCCAGAGGACATGTTAGTGAAGTGACGTCAGCTTAGATATTTCTATAAGAGTATCCGTCAATGGTAGGTACAATAAAATGGGACCCATATTCCAAAAGAATTAGCCCAAACGACTTTAAAAAAAATGATAAATGGGTTGAACATATACAACTAATTCATCTGAAAAAATATTTTTAATTTTTTTTTTATAAAGAATTTATTGAGTTTCCGGTAAGACAGACTACATAACTTAAGATTAGATTTTATGCAAAAAGAATGGATTTAATTTTTTTGACAAAGAGTAAACAGAATTGGGGTTTGAGTTTTTGCAAAAGAAACGGATTTAATTTTTGATTAAAAATAAAAAATTATGGAATCTGAGAGAAAAGAGCATTGTCTGGATTTTGAATAATAACCACTAGAAATCAAAATATTTTACCTGATGACGTAATTAACACAGATAATGGTTTCTTCTTCGGCATTCTTGGTGTTGCAAATGACTGTTGCGCAGCTCTGCAGCCAAGTGTAACCGCCATTTTTATTCATTAACCTATAGTAACCACTCATTACTTGTCCTTTTTGGATCACTGCGAGGAAAAAACAAAAACTGCTTAAAATATACATTATTTAAACATTCAGACACAAGAATGAGTGAATTTTCGCAATTTTAGTATTATTTACACTGGATAACAAATTGCTTATGACATGAATAGTTGATCTTGCTTGATTCGGGTCTGGGGATTTTAAATCTGAAATTACTTTTGCTCTGGAAGCTTTTTTTTAAAAATGTCATTTATAGTCTTTTTTTTGTCATAATGCGCGGGTTTAAACTGATTATATATAACAGGGGGTCGCATCAGTGTTGCGAAACACTTCTAGGGGAGTTAGGGCACATCATCAATATTAAAATTTGATAGGAACTCATGACTGGAAATGTCACCGTACGCTGTTAAGGGCGCTTCACTAATATGAGCTGTTCAGAGGCACCTGTAGAAACAGTTTAAAATACAAAAGCACCCTAGCGGTGTATGACGATATTTTCGGGCATGGAATCCTATGCAGTCTTAATCCTGATGATGTGTGCTTACTCTCCTGGATGTTTGTTGCAGCATTAGCATGACCTCTTGTTATATATCATGTTTTTTTTATACATTTCGAGAAAAAATAGGCTAAAAATGTCATGAGAAAAACTGTAGCTTGTAGAGAGAAGCCGATTGCAGATTTGAAATCAAAGATACGAAAGTATCTAAGATTTATTAAAAAATAATCTACAACAGAAAATAATAATAATAAAATTATCCAGTGTCATTCTTAACTAACTTATGAAAATGCCTTTGTTAATATAAATGTCTTAAATATATTTGGCACTTGCAACAAGCGCGAAAACGATTTTGAATAGACATTACTTGTATGTTTTTTTTTTTAAATTTAAATTTTTGATCTAATATTTAGTTGGTCCATATATAATAAGATTGTAAGTCGATACTATCCTTAATTTTAAATTATTAAAGTTCATTATTAACAAATAGATGAATAGATAAAATATTTGTAAATACTGCGAATAATAAAATCTAATCGTTAAATTCGAAATAAGTAAAATATGCAAACACATTTTTTATGTCCTCAACGCTGATAAAACTTTTTTTATACTGTGTTGAACCATAATATTGGCAACCTTAGAGATCCATATTTTGGCATTATTTAAATATTAACCTTGATTTTAATATAGTTAAGCTTAAAAAGAAACATGGTGCAACATAACTTTTGAAATGAAGGATTTTAATTAATAATATGCATTTAAAGTTTGGGGCAATATAATCATAAGCCATAAAATTGTTCAAAGTAGCGTTTTTCATATAAGAAAAGGACACTTCGATTACCACGCATTCAGCAAGTCATTTTTTACTTTAAACTTATAAAGTATCTATCTGGAAATAATATCAAACAAATGTTTGATGTAAGACTGTCACATTTGAAAAGTGTGTGGTTTATTACAATATTATTCCAAACTTTTCTTATTTTTGTACATAACAGTTATAAAATGGAAATGAGTAACATGCACGCAATTAGTTTTTCTTTTTTGTAATATAAAATAGTACTTACAATCTATATGGCACTTTCGCAGTTTTTCGATATCTTGTGCGTGGCACAGTGTGTACATACTTGTTCCGGTTATTTCTTCTGCAGTGTAGTCCAAGAGTTCAGATACCCTATTTGAATAATAAAACACAAAATTATTGCTAGGTATGAATGATAAATAGTAATCTACACGTATGACATCTGCACATACGCGTATGATATGGTAATTTACGCATATGGTATTTGCACATACACGTATGGTATGGTAATCTACACGTATGGTATCTGCATATATACGTATGGTATGGTAAGCTGCACGTATGGTATGGTAATCTACATGTATAGTATAAATCATGCAATCAGATATTAGACTCAGCTTTTAAAATCAGGAGATTTTTTTCGATATTTTGTTAGTTTTTTTTTAATGGAAAAGGCAAGGCATATGGATCTATGCATAATTCAGGATTAAGATCTATTTATGCTTTCCCTTTTTCAGCTTTTAACTATATTCTGGAAAAAATGTATTACTTCTAGGATTCGTGTAAACTTGTTCTGTTATTTTCTAATAATTTTGGTCAAAGAAGCTGTATCATAGTAATAAAAATTGCAGAAAAGGAAAGGATATTTAACGTCCTAAATTAGCCGACTTAGCACATGAAAGTGTTTTTTAGATAAACAAGTTATGTGTATTAATGTTATGCATGTCTGATTCCGACGTAAAACGAGAAATCATCAAACTTAGCAGCAGTTCCTACATGAAAATCAAATACGTTCATGCATATTTTTAATAATAGTTTATTTTTCTTTACTTCAGTTCTTCAGTTAAAAGCAACTCATTACTTCAATTGAAAACAGCAATAGTTAATGCAGTTGCAAAACAGCAATTTTATCTTAACAGTAGTAGGACTAATAATTAGTTCAATAAAAGTCTACAGGAATATGTACAGAGGGACCAAAGCTAAGATGCTCATCAACGGGCCCAGCTTTGATTGGGCATTTAAATATAGGTTCTATCTAGGCTGAATAGTTGCTGATATTGGTTTAACTAAATCGGAAAAAAAAATTAATATTGGTTCGAGAGCCATGGTGGTTCAGAGAATAAGGGGTTCGCCTCCCAATGAGCTGAACCGTGTTCGAATTCCAGTGCTGGCTAATTGATACCAATTCCGCACCTGCGTCACATCGACCACAGTTCTGACGCAATATATCCTCAGTGGTAGGCGCATTATTAGTTAGTCCCCTTGCCATCAAGCTAACCGTGGGAGGTTTTCGTGGTTTTCTTCTCCATGTAACGCAAATGCGGGTTAGTTCCGTTACGAAGTCTTCTTCGAAGCCAAATTTCTTCTAAGAATTGATCTGGGAGTTCTCTTGTCTTTTGGACTGGGTTCAAAATTGCCAGGCTACGGAGGTGAACATTAGTAGTCGCAAGCTCAAAAAAATTGAATCGGCAGTTCAATGACAATTATAAAATAAAATATCGGTTCCATGTGGGCTTAGTATGTATTAAGAAATATCAGGTGAATTAGAAAACTGTTTATAGGACTTTATAAATAAATATTTGTAGATAATGTAAAATATTTGTAGATAATGATCCCTCTGTACTTTATTAGTCTAAGATTTTTGAATATTGGCCTGAGTTTTATTGCTACCTGTTAATTTTGCAAAGGAGCGTTTCCATGCAATGGTCTGAAATGTTTGAAAACAGTATGTAGTCTTACCTTGGCTCACAGTGAGATATCCGGAAATCGAATGTCAGCCTTGTTACAAACATATCGGGTTCTAGCCGTAGCTCGTTGACTGAAGGAGGAGGAAGGGCTATGGCTAAACCCACAAGTCCCATGACTGTAGGTGCCTGTTTCCTCGAAGACGAAGAAAAATTATATTGAGGCCTAAGATGTGATAAAACTAGTACAACCTAAAAATATTAAATAAATAAATAAATAACAAATATGCAAAGGAAATTAAGCCAATTCATTTTACAATTAGGCTTAAATAAGAATAGTTTAAAAATAAAATATTAACTTTCCTAGTAAATAGTCATTAAAAAAGTAAAAGTTATTGCTAATTGAAACAATTTATTAAAATTAAAGCCTCACATTTGATCTATTTCACGGAATAAACAATGTTTTCATGTTTCAATTGTAAATTTTTTCAGTGCTTTACATTAACAATAACAGATGGCAGCACTATTCGCATTTAGAAGTTTTATAGCAAAGTTCCATCCTATATGTATAAGTAATAAAGTTTAATGATAGATGGCAGCAGCATAGAGTTCGCTTGTAATAAGGTCTTCATTTCTAATCGTTTTAAAATTCATATTTTAATATGAAGTGCATTTTTCTTAATAAACAAAGGCCAAGAAGCCTTCGTATAAAACATTTTATAGTTGTGCCAAATTATTTTGATTATTAAATTGTTTCTTAAAAATAGTTTAACCTTTTAAATTCAATTTTAAGAAACGTTTTTAAAATCATAATAACATCTTTTCAAAATAAATAATTTTATAGGATTTTTTTTTCCATTTCTTTTATAAAACTTAGAAAGAAGCAGACCAAGTTTATAACAAATTTAGTTTTAATCAGAAATTGGTCAATGTAACTGCTGTTCACTTATATTTAAAGGTCCAGATCGCAGCATCGTTAGTTTCTGAAATTTGATAAATTGATTTGCATGTAAGTAAATTATCGTTAAAATTCTCATTATTTTTTAAGGTAACAAATTAACATATTATATAAGAAATTATAGGACACACAATAAAAAATTTATACTAGTCCCCTTATCATTTACCAGAAATTATATGAAAATTGATTATGCATTTTAAAATGATATGAAAATTAATACTGGCTATCTTACAATTTACCAAAAATAATATGAAAATTGATTATTTATTTCTAAATGACATAAAAATTGATACTGGTATTCTTATAATTAACCAAAAATAATATGAAAATTGATTACTTATTTAAAAATAATATAAAAATTGATACTGGTCTTCTTATAATTAACCAAAAATTATATGAAAATTGATTATTTATTTTAAAATTATATAAAAATTGATACTGGCTATCTTATAATTAACCAAATATGATATCAAAATTGATTACTTATTACAAATGATATGAAAATTGATACTGTTTATTGTATAATTAACTGAAAATGATATTATAATTGATATGACTGTCATATTCAAAAGGATAATGCGCAATTATTTATTAAACAATATTTGATTTAGAGTAATCTTAATAGCTCATCTTCAATGAAAATAAAACAGTATTAGAAATAAGTGTCTTACTCTGTAGCCAGAGGATTTAAAATGGCAACCGCGTTTGGTCAATGTAGATTTCATTCTTATGCAGAAAGATCTTTGTAGACTTTGACCTGCACTTTCGCTTCTTATACTCATTGTTGGAGCTGTTGATAAACAAATAAAAGTATGTGAAAACAAATTGCTAATACAGCTTAAGCTTTTTGTTCAAATTTAATATAGTTCAAATTAACAATGATACAATTATAATGAGTCGTAAGTTTTAGTTAAAAAACATGATTTCCTTTCACACAATCGTTAAAAGTAACTTAATGGTAACACTGGGGGACAATTTTTTTTTACATTTATACAAATACTTAAACTTTCCTAATTCGGGTGTGGAAATTTCAAATCTGATATTAGCTTTGCTTCTAAAGCTACTGATTACTTTTTAAAAGGACATTTTTAGTCCATTTTTTTGTTGAAATGTACAAGTTTAAAAATACTATAAATGACAAAGGGGTTGTCTTAATGTTCCGACAATCTTCTAGGGAAGTTAGGGCACATCATCAGGATTAAAATTACGTAGGAGCCCGTTCCCGGAAATTCGTTGTACGCATCTAGGTATACTTGCACATTATAAACAGCTTTTCGTGTACTTCTGAATAGGTCATAATAGGGGAGCGAACCTAGATCGTGATAGTATACGATAGTATATGTTCGTGATAGTATCGTGATCTAGTACGATGATATTTCTGGGAATGGTAAATTTCGAAAAAATATCGTAAGAAAACTGTAGCTTGGAGATGGAAACTGGTTGCAGATTTGAAATTTGAGATAAAGTATCCAAGATCTATTAAAAATTCACATGCAAATGAGAAAAATGTTTGCCAGTGTAATGAAACCATGAGCAGAAACAAAACACTAATTTATAGAAAAAATATCCAACTGAAATAGATATTACGGATGTTTATAGAGCACATTTTTTATTATTACTAGATGAACTTCAAAATAACTTATGTTATTTTAAAGTTTCCTCAACTAAAAGATCTGTAAGTTAATTAATGTTTTTTATAAACTAACTTTATGTTAAAAAACCTTACGTTACTTTACGTTATTCAATGTAATGTTAATTAATGTTTTTCATTTGAATTAGGAAGAACAGAACATTTTACACAGTCGGCATATAGCACAAATATTCAATGACCAATGGCAAAAATTACTTAATGCTAGTAAAATTATCAGCAAAAACAAGACATGTACATTCACATAACAAGAACATGAAAGGCATTTACTAGGAAATTATTACAATTATTAGGGAAATCACAGATTATTTAGATAAAAAATGCCATAAGAATCATTAAGAGTAGAGGGTGATATATATACACAATTATTTTACAGATTAACAATGTCTAAATTACATTCAAGTAGAGTCTACGTCTGATTGTAGTTTCTAGTTTCTTGATATTTTTAATGACTTTAGATATAATCATCTATTAATTAATCATCGGATCCTATCAAATCAGATGTTGTTTATGGTTTTATTAAATTTTTTACACAAACGACAATATTTCGTAAGCATTTAAAATATTTAGAATTGATAATCTAAAAGAAATTACACTATAAATGTAAGAGAAATTGGCTACCTCTTAGAATTGGCAATCTAAGAGAAATTGGCTACCTCTTAGAATTGGCAATCTAAGAGAAATTGGAATACAGATCTAAGAGAAATTGGCAATCTAAGAGAAATTAGAATACAGATCTAAGAGAAATTGGCTACCTCTTAAAATTGGAAATCCAAGAGAAATTAGAATACAGATCTAAGAGAAATTGGCTACCTCTTAAAATTGGAAATCCAAGAGAAATCGGACGACTAATCTAAGAGAAAATGGCTACATCTTAGAATTAGCAATCTAAGAGAAATTAGAATACAGATCTAAGAGAAATTGGCTACCTCTTAAAATTGGAAATCCAAGAGAAATCGGACTACAAATCTAAGAGAAAATGGCTACATCTTAGAATTAGCAATCTAAGAGAAATTGGTTACCTTTTAGAAATTGGCAATCTAAGAGAAATTAGAATACAGATCTAAGAGAAATTGGCTATCTCTTAGAATTGGAAATCCAAGAGAAATTGGACTACAAATCTAAGAGAAAATGGCTACATCTTAGAATTAGCAATCTAAGAGAAATTAGAATACAGATCTAAGAGAAATTGGATACCTTTTAGAAATTGGCAATCTAAGAGAAACTAAACTACAAATCTAAGAGAAATTCGCTACCTCTTAGAATTAACAAATGGTTTTACTTAGAATTGGCAATCTAAGCCTAATGACAGTTTATAGTATTATAGATCCAGAAATAGTCTTCAACCAAATAAGCATCGGAGTATCTCAAATCAGAATAATTTTACTAAGTAGACTATGCATAGGGTTCTTCAATGTAAAGTCTGGCCAGCTATAGCTTATGGCTAGCACCAAGCTGTTGGCTACTACAGCTGTTGATGAATCATTATTATGATTCACCAACAGCTCATTTAACATATTGAGCTGTTGGTAAATCATATATACGGCTGTTGAAGATAAAGTTTCATTAATAATAAAGAATTAGACGTTGGCTAAGTTCTCTGGCTGTATGATATAGTTGACTAGACTCTAGGAGCATTAACTATATCAATGTAGCTATTCTTTGATAATTTGAACAAAGACAAATATTAAAGTGAAAATGAACGATAAAAAATGGATACTTACGTGGTCTATCGAACCCAGTGGGTGTAGATGGTCCCGGGTTCGAGGACGAACCGTCATCCGAAGCTACAGAGGCTGGAGGTGATGTTGCAGATGGGGAAGGGCACATGTTGATTCCTATTAGATCTGCTAATTCTGATTGGTCTTGTTGATGGATGTAATCGAAAACACTACTTCCTGTCATTTCGACCTATTTCGTCAAATAATGTGGCTCGTTAATTTTCCAGACACGTAACGTTGTATTATAAAGTACAAAGCAAATCCAAAATACTTCTTGAAAATAACTGTCATAGCGCAATTTGTATTATTAAGAGATGTACAAAATATGCGGTTTATTACTGGAGTTTTTTGCTAAGAAATACTGAAAGATTTAATGCTCATTTCAGATCAATTATCATAATATAATTCGTATCATTAAGAGATGCTAGCATTTCAAAATAGTTCGTAGTTATTGTGAAAGGCTTGTGCATTTAAAGAAGACTTTGTATGCTTGCAGAGTTTGAAAGTACTAATTAATGGTACATTTTTTAAAAATCGGTTAAAACATATAAGTTTAAAATTGTAATTAGGCATTGTTTTCATCAACTTGATATGAGTATTTTTTAAATAGTTACCCATTTTTTCAACTATTTTTGACTAACCATTGATATTTTCATAATATAGCATGATTACAAGTTTTGAATAAATAAGCAATATATGTCTCAATAAAATTAAAAAAAAATTGTTCAAAATCTCTTCTTAAATAATTTAATTTATATTAATAAATTAGATTTATATTAAATTTAATTTAGTTTATATTAAATTTAATTTAGTTTATATTAAATAGTTTAATTTAATTATTGTAAATAATTTAAATATATATAACAAGTATATATAACAAGTATATATAATAAGTACATATAACAAGTGTATATAACAAATATATACAATATACGTACATTAAAAAAATTAGAGGTTCGTATTTGATTGAATATGTTGTTTTAAAGAAAATGTTTATTTTGAATTATATTTAATTTATGAAAAAAAGCAGAAGATATTTTCCATGAAGAAATTTAAAAGGAAAAAAAATCAAATTTTAAATAAAAAATAACGAGAAAAAAACTAATTTTTTGGAAATAAATTTCATGAAAACATGAACAGCTTAATACCAATAGATGTAGCGTAGATCTTTTGGATTTTTTTGTTATTTGTATTAAACTCAACTGTAGTTCATAAAGATATAGTATTTGGTTTTATGTAATTTTGAAAGCCTAATACAATTTTCAGCTACGAATGTAATAGTTAAATACTTGGTTGTTAATAAGATTTGAATGAATCAAGCAAAAAATGAGAGATCAGATCAAAGTATTTTAAGATGATATACAGACTATTTCTTACCTGTGAAAGACCTAAATAAATAGAGACTGTTTCTGAGACATACAAAAACCGTCCATCTGCACCAAGGGCAAAAGCAAAACCGTCCAATGACTGAAAAGAAAGAAGAGAATAAGAATATTATTGAATAATAAGCCACTCATTAATTTGTAATATAAAATAATGCATATAAAAAATGCTAAATTCGTAAAATGATAAATGGATAATTTGTAACATAATTTTACGAATAAACGCTTAGTGTTAGAAATTATTAGTTTTTCAATTTTCTACACATTCGCAAATAACGAATGTTGATGTTCTTGCTCCAGGATTACCATATTTTGATTTATTTACTGTAAAAATTAGTTTAACACGTTGAATGCCACGCTAATTTTACATGGCTTGCCCGTCTGGCCAAAATGATTTTTGTGTGTTCCATATTGCATTAATTTCTTCAAACCCTTTTAGTTACGATAATAATAAAAAAATTTAAAGAATTACAAATTTACTCGAATTATGTGTCTCTAATAATCTGGGCTTCGCCAGTCTCCGGTGACCTCCGTGGAGTTACGAACAAACTCAGTGCCGGACACCTGTGACCCCCATAGCATTCAACGTGTTAATGAATCTTTTTTTTTTCATCAGGAATGAATCTATTATTTGGTTTTTTATTTCAAATATATTTCTTATCAAGAATATTCCTAGTGTTTCTAACACAGTCAAATTAAAATTATTTTAAAACTACTTTTTTTTTATCAAGAATTTTCTTGTTGTTTTTAACACTACAAATCTAGGATTATTTTGAGGATATTTCCATTGTAATTTTTAAGGAATTTTTTTATATACTGTAAATATTTCAAAATTTTAAGGGTGCTGTTTACCACGAACATTCCCATTTTTTAAAAAGTATTATTAATAATTTTATTAAAATTAATTTGAAAACGTTTATTATCAGGAGAGTGTTGGAAAATATTCGCGTTTTAAACATTTAACTATTTCAAAGGTATTTTCTTTTTCCAGTACCAATTTTAAAAACTTTTAAGGTAAGTCTTTGTAATTTATCAGGCGCATTCTCAAAATATTTCCCAGTTAAAATTTTCAGGAGATAAAACGCATGAAAAAATGTGGGCAAAAAGTCGTGGAATGTTAATTCGGTAATAATTCTAAATATAATGGTTTTAGAAATCTAATTTTAACGAATTGACGAAACCCAAGTAAAATAGCGTTTGTGACAGAAGAACTGTTTTCTCCCAGCACAAATGAAGCATATTTCCCACAAAAGGCCTGTGAAAAACTGTTGTCCTCCAACAGTTACCTAATGAAGCTTACATTGTGAAAGTGAAAAGAGCTACAATCGTTTTAACAGTTGTAACCAAGATAATGATCCATGCAAATAATCTTAAGAAGGATGCATCTGATTGTATTCCTCCACCAGTAAAATGAATTATCAGGTTTTGGAAGTATTATCTGCTAATGCCTTACGAGTTGTTAAAACTGATCTTTGAATCCACAAAGAAGGTACTTTGCCCAGTCTAGTGAAGCAAAAAATACTTTTTTTCATTAAACGGAAGGATTAGAGTCTAAACGTGACCGTTGTACGTGTTTAGGCGTGTATATTCCAGGTACAAGATGCGTACTTGACCGCTTAACAATTACGTGGAAGTTGTATACGGCGAATAAGCAAGCTGTGAGCTTTCTCGATCGAGCTTATTGCAATATATTGGGTATTCTATAAAATATTTTTAAAACTTCATCTAAAATATTTTAAGAAGGAACAGCATAAAACTGAATATTGGGATATTTTTTAGACTTATAGTGCGTCAAAGAAGGCATTAAAAATTATTTTTTGAGTATCTCAAGCTTTTAGAACAACGAATGCTGTTGAGTTATGTCATTGGTGCATCATGAATAGTGTTTTAGGATTACATAGGATTATCATTTATCCTATACGCATCAGGTATCGCGTTTCATACGCGAATATCATTCATCGTATACGCACGAAGAATCGAGTGCTAGGCTCTTATACGTATATCATAGACGTATCAGGAATCCAGTTCTAAGCTCTTATACGTATATTGTATATCATAGATGTATTAGGAATCCAGTTCTAAGCTCCTATACGTATATTGTATATCATAAACGTATCAGGAATCGTGTTTTAGGCTCTAATACGTATATCGTATATCATAGATGCATCAGGAATTACAGGAAATTGCTCAACGACTGATCTTTGAGTACACTAAGAAGTTACATTGCTCAGTCTAGTAAAGAAGAAAATACCACTTTTTCATTAATCGGAAGGATTAGAGTTAAAACATAGCCAATGTGTGTATTTAGGAGAGTATTTTCTTGATATAAGATGCGTACTGGAGAAGGTTTCATTTAGAGAACATGAAAACTGGAAGTTTTTCTGTTTCAGTTTATTGCGTCATACTATAGGCGGTGCGTGAAAAATTTTAAGAGGTCACTTGTATTTTTTCTTAAATTTTATTATTGTTACTTTTTTTGTTTATTTTTAGAATATATATATAAAAAAAATTAGAATATGTACATTAAGAAGCATGGTGGCTCAGGGAATAGATCATTTGCCTTCCAATCAGATTAACCGGGTTCGAATCCCAGCGATGGCTGGTTGATACGAATTCCGAAACCGTTTTACACAGACCACAGTGCTGACGTAAAGTATCCTCAGTGGTTGACGGATCATGGGTAAGAGTCACCTTGTCGTTAGGCTAACCGTGGGAGGTTTTCATCTCCAAGAAACGCAAAATGCGGGTTAGTTCCATCAAAAAGTCCTCCACGAAGGTGAATTTTTTCCCAAACCTTGATCCAGGAGTTTCCTTGTCTTCTGGATTGGGTTCAAAATTACANTCTAAAAGAAATACACAGAAAACATTTTATAAATGTCTTTAGTTTTTAGAGTTTTAGAGTGAATTTCTGTATTTAACAGAGAAGTTAATTAATAATTTAATTGGCAATAATTTTAAAACTTTCGCGCAACATGACGTATTCTGTAATGTATTCAGGGTATATTGTGAAACCATGACCAGTCTGAATTTTGTTGATTTATTTTCCTAAAATAACAACAAAAAAAATGCCATGGCAAAATTTATTTTTTCTAACCACTTCTTGTTAAGATTGATGTGCAATCCTATTTCGAGGACCGATAAAATAAAAATTCGATTTCTCTCGGTTCTTATGCGTAATTTTTAAATTATAATTATGAACAAATTTTCATGTACTCAAAAATTTTCTAATTTTTTTTCCTGGACAATTTTTTACTATTTACTTTATTTAAATATTAGGAATAAATTTAGTCTGAGTTTGAACTCATTTTTAAAAACACATTTTCAATATTTTGTTGGTGAAAATTGATGAAAAATTGATATGAAAGAACTCTGTTATTACCTGAAGAATGTGCGTTGCTTGATGCTGCTCAAAGAGATCCATTGCAATAGATGTCATCGATCTAGACCTTAGACTACCACCTGAAATTAAATAAATAAATAAATAAAATATGTATTTTTGTTGTAATGATCTGTTAAATCAGTTAAACTATTAATGATCTCTTAAAGTTACCAACTAACAATACAGAATGACAAAATAAATTATCCGTTATAATTAAACAACTATCAATCATTTATATTTAAAGTTATATATTTCGGAATTATTATTATTATTATAAAAGTATCGATTAGTGAATTATGATTATTATTATAAAAGTATCGATTAGTGAATTATTATTTTTATTATAAAAGTATCGATCAGTGATTTATTATTATTATTTTAAAAGTATCGATTAGTGAATTATTATTATTATAATAAAAGTATCGATTAGTGAATTATTATTAATATTATAAAAGTATCGATTAGTGAATTATTATAATTATTATAAAAGTATCGATTAGTGAATTATTATTTCTATGTTGCATATTAGAGAATTATTTTAATAAAATTATCTTTGAGTAAATTATTGAAACTATCTATTGGTGGAATATTATTACAAATTCATCTATATGTAATATATTGTGTCATGCATTCTATTTTATTTTATAACCGTCGTTGAACAGCCGACCCAATTTTATGGGTTTACGACTAATGATGTTCAACTCAGTAGCCTTGTAATTTTGATCCCAATCCAGAAGACAAGGGAACTCCTGGATCAAATATTGGGAGAAATTTTGCCTTCGTGGAGGACTTTTTGATGAAGCTAACGCGCATTTGCGTTGCATGGAGAGGAAGACCACGAGAACCTTCCATGGTTAGCCTGACGGCAAGGGGACTCTAACCCATGATCCGTCTACCACTGAGGATATTTCATGTCAGCACAGTGGTCGGTGCAAGCCGAATGCGGAATTCGTATTTGCTAGGATTGGAACCCGGTTCGCCTCATTGGAAGGCGAACGCTCTATCCCCTGAGCCATCGCGGCTCTNATTTTATGGGTTTACGACTACTGATGTTCAACTCAGTAGCCTTGTAATTTTGATCCCAATCCAGAAGACAAGGGAACTCCTGGATCAAATATTGGGAGAAATTTTGCCTTCGTGGAGGATTTTTTGATGAAGCTAGCGCGCATTTGCGTCGCATGGAGAGGAAGACCACGAGAACCTTCCATGGTTAGCCTGACGGCAAGGGGACTCTAACCCATGATCCGTCTACCACTGAGGATATTTCACGTCAGCACAGTGGTCGGTGCAAGCCGAATGCGGAATTCGTATTTGCTAGGATTCGAACCCGGTTCGCCTCATTGGAAGGCGAACGCTTAATCCCCTGAGCCATCGCGACTCTCATGTATTCTATTATAAAAAGTTAGCCAAAACGAACATGTTATAGTGAGGGATCTAATTTATAATAGTCCTTTAACGTTAATCTTACATTTTTGGGTATCTCACCATTTCGTAATACTAAATTTCTTTTTAGTAAATTATTATTTTTTTTAGTAAATTAAGATCTTATTAATTATAAAATTCGTTTATCAAAAGTTGCAAAAACAATTTTTTATACTTAATTATTTCTTTCATAATTAATCAACTAAATAAAATGCTAAATTGTAAGGCATACATAATTTTACCTCATTATCAAAACCAAAAATTTGAACTGAATCGACCTACCAGTTTTTGAGTAGTAAAATTTAAGAAGATTTGCGTTTTTAACTAACATATTTTTCAGATTGTGGCAGTCTTCCATATTTTAAGGCTGAAAAATTTAAATCCGTTGAAAAAAGAAAAACATGTATATTTATAGAAAGTTCATATTTGTGTCTGATTTCTTAACTTAATCAAATTTGTTTAATCGTTAAATTAGTATGTTCTGCACAAATGCGGTTTAACATTCAAACCATTAAGGAAGCATCTTAGTTCGATGAAATCTGATCACTAAATCAAAAGTTGCAAAAGTGCTACTTTTTTTTATTTCCTAATTTATTAGTAACATATATTTTCAAAATGAGAAAAGAGTAAAGAGAGTTAATTTTTCACGAAGTGCTGTTTTTCTTTTGAAAATGATCATTTTCTTAGTTTTCATGCCGCCTTCTTCACATTAGTAGCTTAAACACAAAGAATGATCACTAAATGCAAATTCAGTGAGTCAACGATCGCTTAAGTGAATTCTTTTAAGAAATCAATCAACACTGTTGACAAGAACACCGATGTCTTATCGAATTTAGACTTGACGTTCGTGAACTATCAATAACCAATCTATTGAGCGATGAGCCATTTCTTTTTTTAATTAAATTAGTCAAATTAATTAAATTATTATAAACTACTTATGTTATCTTTATATTTTGAATAGTCAGTATAGATAAATGTTTAGAGATGTCCAAGCCAGAGGCTGAACTATATCATTGAGTTATTTAAAGCAATCGATTGTAATTTTGCGGTTCTGAATGGCAACTAGTTGCTTGCAATATTCCTATTGGATGATTCGTATTCTTATTTCAATAGAAACGTATTCCTATTGGTTGCATCTGTTACTGATTGATCATTGATGGATTTTTAGTAGACAGGTAAATGAAGTGACGTCAGCTTAGACATCTCTGTAATACAGGAATGCTACATGCAACTAAAAACGTAAAAAGTGGTAAAAACTCAATTAATTTTCATTTATTTATTATCTCTTTAATTATTCAATCGTATTTATTACTATAGCTTAAATTTCAAATAGTTCATATTTAAAGCAAAAACATTCTTTGCACCACTTTCAATAGTAAAAAGAAAAAAACATGCTACAAAAAGCAGCTAATTTTGATCTCTTTTTAAGAAAATTTATAATATTATGAATTGCCCCTTTCTGCATCTTTAGTCGAACGTGGCAACCCTGTGCAATATCGTTTTAAATTTTTATTATGATTTGCAACTTTTTGAACGCGAGTTAACTGATTTCGGAATATTTCTTTACTAGTATAACTTGCTGAAGTATTAAGGTTGATGTATACAAACTAAACTTATGTTCTTTATTCGCATAAAAGAAGAGTTTTTTTCCCCATAATGGTAAATTTCAAGCTAATTTTATACAAGTTTTTTTTAAGTGACATTTTAAAATGGTTAGAAATTTTATAAAAATTAAAATTAACAAATGTAAAAGTGTGCATGTCACAAAAAGAGATAACCTTAAGGATAACCTTCTCGTGAAAATTATCTTTTTAATATAATAAGGATTTACTTTATGAATATAATCTCTAAATTCACCAAATATAAACTAATATAACCAAATATAACCAAGCATAACACCGAATATAATAAACACATTTTATGAACATGAAGGATATTTATTTGCAGACTATGTCAACCTTCATCTATCAAAAGGTACCCCAAAATAGATTCAAGTTAACATGTCTTATATACTAGTGTTTCGGTATTTAATATTTATAGTGGTAGTAACGCCACAAACAGTCTTCTAAAGCTATCACTAAATTTTATGAACAGATTTTTAATGTATGCGTAAATTATGAATAGTTTCTTTAAGTGTTAACCTTATTGCATACGAACAGTCTTCTAATATAATGATAAGCATATTTTATAATAGTCTCCCAAAGTGCTAATCATGTTCTTTTAATAGTTTACTAAAGGATTAAGCATATTATGTGAACAATTGACAAACAAAGCTATATTTTAAATATTTGCATTTCAAATTAGTTGAAATTTTATTAGCTTTAAATTTTAAAGTCAAAATACGGCAATAAATTTACGTTCGTAATGTCTAGAAAAACAAGACCCCAAGCCATTAAAATTTATAGTTAACAGAAAGTTTTCTTTAGAATATTTTTCAATGGCATTGTGGTGATAAATTGGCAATTCTGCCATCAACTTTCTTTTTTCGCCAAATACCTTCAAAACATTACGTAGTACATTTCCAAGATTTTCAAACCACATTTATGATAATTTAATGGCGATGAAAACGAAATTCAAACAGTAACAACCTCTCGCCACCATAAACTTGTTTTTTCGTTTGGCTGTGCTTTGTTTTTGTTAGAAGAGTCATCAAAAACAAGGATACTCTTTAATTCCATGCCAATTTGAGTTACAATAATAACGGTAACAACTTGGCTGGCAACATTCAAGCCAAACGCCAAAAAAAAGTTTATAAGGTCCTTATCATCAAGGATGATGTAATCGTTTTATTATGGATATTTGGTGTCTGGTCAATTTCTTTTTGCGTAGTTAATTTTATCAGTCGCTTTAGGGGGAAATGGTAATACCTTAGAAACTATCTACTACCATTATTATTAGTGTTTAATAGAGTATTTGATTGAAAAGAAGAGTTAGTGTTATATGAGGTATGTAAAGATATGTGGTTAAATTACATAACAATTCATGATGTTAGTAATTTACCATGTTGGTAAATTCAAGGTTTCTAATGGGATGGGCCTGTAATGTTAGTTTTATTCAAATTCAAAATCTTCGAACACAATTTGAAATTATACATGTATATAATAGAATACTATAGCGCATATTTTTAATGTTCCAAGGTATGTCTTTTTAAAATTCTATATACTATTTACGGCTGTAGTGGTAAATTTAGCTATCGGAAAACATTATATTTTCTATTATTATATGCATTATATTAGGCGTGAAAATATGTTTACTATAGTTTTCTACTATATACGAAACACATTTATTTATTCAATACAATACAAAATAAGAACAAACAAACAAACAAACAAACAAACAAAGAAGAAACCAATTTATCTAGTCACTTTTGGATCTATCAAATCGAATTGTATTAGAATACTGTTCGATACTATTGTTATAATATTTAATTTTTAATACTTGTTCTCTCTATAATATATGTAATATAAATATTCGGTTATATAAACACATGTATGTGTTATCATTCTTATATAAGCGTGATTTTGCTAAGTGTTTAAAAAGTGTTTCTTACCTTATTTTTACTACCTCATAGTGATATTGCGATTCGTAGAGAAATTCTTGCGCTTGCGCAGTGAAGTTCAAATAGTATTAGAGGTTTGGGAAACCATAACGCTTTGCA